TAATATCACCCAACTGAGAAGATTTTTGATAATAAATGAATGCTTTATGTTTATCCTTTTCAATCCCAATTCCATTTTCATAACAATATCCTACATCATTAGTTCCATAAGCATGACCCATATCAGCAGATTTTTGAAAATAAATGAATGCCTTATATTCATTTTTTTCAACACCAATCCCACCAAGGAAACAACAACCGACATAATATGCACTATCACAATAATCCATCTCAGTAGATTTTTGATAATAAATAAGTTCATCTTTAAGATTTTTTGATGATGTTATATGAATATGTTGAGTAAGTGAGAGATCCTGTATAAAGTCCGTAGATAATAACTGTGTTCCATTGTGTGATTGTTGATTGCTTGCATAATGAATTCGTTTTTTTAGTGACATACTAGAGACTATCCTTGGACCACGTCTTTTAATTAACTCAGAGATGCAAGGAACATTTTGTTTTATACATGATGTACAGCTTTTTGCATCAGAATTTCAAATGCATCTTATTTTTCTCATTCGACAGTTATGGCAGTTACTACATACAGGGCTCAACTTTTGTGAAGACATCGTACTAGAAAATACGGTATTGATAGTGAATTTAATAATAAGTGTAACTAGATAAATGCATAGCATTATATGTCTGGAGCGAATATTAAATTATATATACTAAACCCCTAAATGCATGATGGCCCATGGTGGAACTTATAGATAAATGCACGCTCTTTATACGCTAATTGTCCGGCCATTGGTCCCGACGACGTGCATTTAGGAAGGTCTGAGTGTATACGTTTTGATTGGTGATCTTTACATGTGTGATCGGACAAACAAACTAGTGATGTTACCCAAACTCGAAGGTTCGAGAATTGACATTTATCGATATTCTTGACACAATTTGAAATGCAAACCTATGCTCATTTCTTTTTGTATATTCCAAACTATAACCATACGGAACAAATCTGGCATGAGTTTGGTTATAACCAGGGTTAAAACAACACATAGTATACATCGGTCATTTACTGTGCTATTGTTTATTGTTTGAAGTATCTTTTTTGATACATCAAATTTATTGATATTGATCATATTATTAAACATGATACAACAAACTGATATACCAACTTAATATATTTAAATTAAATGTAATTACACAAAATT